GCTCTAAAGCAAAATTCTATCATTCCTCTGAGTAGTTATTCATTGTTTGATTATTGTTGGTATTGTGTCTCATGGGTTACCCGTGAGCGTTTCATGATCTATCTCATAAACTGTTATACCATAAAGACAATTATCATATACTCATTTGTAAATTTTGACTATATTATCCTAGCTAGGATTTCTTTTTGTTTATATCACTTATTTTGCATGTTTAGCTTCTGGTATTTAATTGTTTCTGATATAATTATATAATTATTCTTTTGTGTATTATGAGATATGAGTAGTTTATAAGATGCACTACAAACAGTGATCAGACAATAAATAGCTAATAAAGAGAAGGAATAAATTTTTTGCTTGAATACACATTAGATAATGGAGTTGTCTACCATAATTAATTCCAACCTATTACGATATACAGTATAAGTTGCAATATTATAACTTGTTGAAACAATTATGGCTGACAATACTACTAATTAATATTAAAAATAAAAAAGACTTTGTTTCTAAAGTTATAAATATAAGTACAAGCGGCAGTAGTTTCATTTGTGAGAAAAACAAACAAAATGAAAGTTATAAATCGTACTTACGATAAGGAATTTGAATCTAGTTCTGAAAGCCAACAGGATATTAACAGCCTCAATGAATTGATGTCTTCTGATGAACGAACATCTAGTGATGAACAAATATCTTGTGACGAACAATCAGATTCCACATCATTATCCAATATGTCAAATGAAAGCTCTGTCTAGAGGTATTTTCATAGAAGATCTTCATATGCACCAGATTATAATGTTTGTAAACATTGCTGCCCTATAAAAAAATATAGATTAATGACTGCTTTATGAGCTCATCTTATAACCAAACACCATTTAGAAGTACTGACAAAAAAACATAATTCACAAATTCTGATTAATCCTTTTGACCTTTAAACGCAACAAGAACATACTAAATATTTTTTACAATAGATTATATGTAATCTCTAGCTATTCACGGTTGTCGACAACAATAGCTTTAGATCGTTTATCCATTTTTTCTGTCCGCATTATATAATTCCTAAACGACACCAAGTAAAAGATTTAGTTATTAATGAATTTAATATCTGGCGGCCGAAAATTACAGATGAACTTAGCAAAATTCCTGGAAAATGTTCGTTAACAGCTGATATCTGGTCTTCAACTATTAGTCAGAAGGCATTTCTTAGGCTTATAATCCACTATATTGATTCTAATTGACAACTAAAAAATTTTTTGCTTGACATAATTCCATTTAGCATTAGCTATACAGGTTTTTGTTTATTTTATTTTCTCTCCTCTTTCTATAAATATAAATCAATTAAACCATTAATTATAAAATTTTGTCTCGTCTTAGAAGTTAATATTGTGCAAACAATTTTAAACACTTTAGACAAATTTTACATCCGTAATAAAATTATTGTACTTAACACTGTCAACGCATCGGCTATGTTAGTATGTGAAGAAGAAATTGCTGAAAATCTTGAATCGACACTTTCTTCAATAACTTTTTCATACTATCGATGTGTGGCGCATATCTTGAATTTAGGTGCAAAGCAAGGTTTAAAAGTAGTTAGTGATCTGATCAACCAAACTCGAGCATTAATAGTTAAAATAAAAAATTCATCATCTCTTAATCATAAGCTCTTCCATTTTTGTAACTTAAAAGAAATTCCAAATTTTAGACCTATTGTAGATATTGACATGTGCTGGAACTCTACGTTCTATATATTAGAACGTATATATAAACTTAAACCTGCTTTGGCTTTACTCGTGGCTAATAATCAAACTGTCAAAGACCTTTATCCTACTAAAGAAGATTAAAATGCAATAAATGTATTTTTTTTTTAATTTAAATTATTATATTATATAAATTTTATATTATACAGTAATTATTTTATTATAATAGGATACTCTCTCAGTTCTTGAACTATTAGAAAAAGCTACTACACACCTTTCTGCGTCATTATATCTAACCTTAGACAATACTCAGTTTATTTTTAAGGGAATTCAATTACGCCTAGAAAATTTTATCAGAAAAAACTGGTTTACACAATATGAATTAGCAGAGTTAATATTGCAAAAACTTTCTGAATATCAGAACGTAATAGACCAATCTACAATTACCTCCACAATTCTAGACCCTTGTTTCAAGCTTTCAGCCTTTTCGATCCAATCAATACAAAATGTGCATAACCAAATTAAAACTATTTTCGACAAATACTTAAGAAATACATCTGATACAACTACATTACCTACTAATAAACTAAACTCCAACATCAACAATACTTGAAAATATTTTTCTCAATTTATGTACCATGGAACAGTATCTAACAATGAACTCCCCGATTCAACTGCCTCATTATCATTAGAATTAACCAAATACCTTTCATTACCTGAAGATGAAGAAGATCCTCTTTCATGGTGCCAAACACATGCTAAAGAATACCTCATTTTAAGTAAGATGGCTCGAGATTACCTCTCAATTCAAGTGACCACAGTTGCATCTGAACGAGCATTTTCTATTGTTAAAAACACAATTACTAAAACACGAAATCAGTTGTCACCAGAGACTGCAAGAGCAACACTCTGAATGAAAAGTTGAATAATTAATAATGTAGGAAAATAGAATATTGCATTATCCTTCCATTTACATATATTTTTCACATGCTGTCATTTTTTTTCTAGACTTTGCATATTGATATATTATAGCTTTTTTTTTTTTTACGTGGTATCTTTTTTTATCTCATGAAGAACAAGTCAGTATATAGAATAAAATATATCTATAGAATAGAATAGAAATATATTAATATCATTCATTAATCTCATAAAGAACAAGTCAGTATATAGAATAAAATATATCTATAGAATAGAATAGAAATATATTAATATCATTCATTAATATATATATAGAATAAAATAGAATAGAGTAGGATTATTCATAGGTTCAATCTAATAAAATAAAGGAATATATTATTAGTATCTTTCAAGATCGAGATGTGCTGATAAAATCAGATATGTTTGTACAAACATGATTTTTCAGATTTTACAAAATCACAAATTAAAGTTTTGGGATCTGTGCTCTATATTAATAAATTATTATAAAAATTTGATTTACTTTGTCATTAAATTCTCCTGCAATTTTTACCATTTTTTAAATTCTATAAAAGCAAGATGTTTAATAAAAAATATCATTATAAAGTAATAACATTAGAATTTACCACACTAATTGAAATATATCACAGCTTCCGCCATTATACGATTTACAAACATAATGTGGGCATATGATAAATCGTTAACCAGGTTCTTATTAATCTTTAATAATTTTTGAACTAATAAATATATATAAATAATTTATAATACTTGCCGAAACTCTCTTAATGTGCTCTTTAAATTTTACAAGAAAACCTGATCAACGAATTACTATATAGCTGCAATAAATCATATAATAGCGAATATAAGGTAAAATTCTAACATTATTACACTTTTCATTAAACATCTTGCTTTTATAGAATTTAAAAAATGTTAAATATTGCAGAAGTATTTAATGACGAAATAAAATTGATTTTTTATAATAATTTAATATAAAACGCAGATTTCAAAATTTAGGATCTTCACTATATTATATACCTTTGTAAATTGTCTGATATGATATGTACACCCCAGTTAGTCACCTGTTTGCAATCATTGCTGCCTATTACAGTACTATATATTTTGTTTTTATAAGAGAAGCAAATGTTTAATAATTATAAAATTATAGTTGAATATTGAACTAAAAATACCTACAATATCAAAAGGTAAAGTATAGATAATTATATTTTGGTTGTAGAAATGGGATCTTAATGTAGGAATCTTTGCAAAACTGTATAAATAAATAAAAAAAAAACTAGTTATATTAACTTTCGCAACATCAATTAGTAAAACAGACAAAAAATTAAAAAATTTATAGGAGAGTTTTATTGTAGAAGGGTTACTTTGTTTAGTTTGAATTTATATTGATTTAATTATATGGGTAAGTATTTTTGAACCCAGGTGAAATACTTTTTAATTTAGTTTATTTTATTGAATTATTTATTCGTGTTGTTTGAAATATATAATAGTTATACAGTATACTACTTGATATAATAAAGTATGCTACAAAGTTTATAAGCTTTTATATAATATTTATAAGTTAAACCAGGTTTTTAATAGTTATATATTTATAATTAAATCAAACTAAATTAAGATTAATTTTTAATTGGTTTATACAAACTAAACCGGGTTTAACCTAATATTTTTAAAATTTATACAATATAAATTAAACCAGGTTTAAACCAATATTTTTAGCAGTTTATATAAACTAAGTTAGTTTAAACTAATATTTTTAACAGTTTATATAAACTAACTTAGTTTGGTTAGTTTAGGTTTAACTATATAAATCAAGATTAGATCAAACCAAACCAAACCAAACCAAACTTCCTATCCCTAATCAGCAGTAGGCACCGAAAGTGCTACTGCGTTGTTAAAAATCTTGGAAAAAAATACTACAACAATTAGTATCTTGAAACTTGAGGACTTTCATTCTAGTTATAATCTACAAATATATCATGAACTTATACATATTATTAAATCACAAAAACAAGTTAGACAATTTAGTTTAATTGGTATGAATGAAATTCTGGTGAAATATTGTAGCATTATTTTGGCTTTAGAAAGACAAAAACCATCATTATGAGAAGTTATGATAGAATGTTGTGATTATAATGAGGAGTTCAGGACGCTAATAAATTGTGAAAATTTGGAAATTCTTCATGTTAGGCATTGCTCTTATGTGAAATTGCTGTTATTATTAAATTATAAAATCAGCATTCTAGAAATAATTAATGGTTCTATTAATGCATCAGAAATAGAGCAAATTTTAGAGAAGTCTGGCACATTGTTAAAATAACTAAAACTTGAATCAGAAGAAGTTTTGAAAGAAGCATTATTGATAAAAACACTTAAGTCCTTCTGCCCAAATATTATATATCTCAGCATTTCATCTATTGAGCTTTTCACACAATTTCTAGATCTTATTGGTAATTTACAAAAGCTTCAATTTCTCACATTATAGCGTTTATAGTGTATTGATAGCAGAATATAAGAACAAACTATGCAGTTTACAAAAATATTGCTATTAATATTACAATATCTTGACTTAAGGAATTCATCTTTAAATTTATATATTGATATTTTACTCAGTAATTGCTATGCATCTCTAAAAAAATTGCTAGTTAATAGGCTTGATAATGAAAAACAAGCTAAGGCACTAATCAAATTCTGCGAATGAAAAAAAACTTTGAATTATGTGGGTGCAGACATATATTTGGATGATAATTTTAAAGAAGTAGTAGAAGAATATGTTACATTGATACCAAATGAACACATTGTTGTTAATTGCTAAATTTTTTAGAATTTCTTTCATAACTTTTGGATGTGTTAATTTAATAAATATATAAATAAAATATTGCTTCAACAAATTTAATAATATAATCATTAAAATCCTTCATTTATAGTTTGTAGATTACAGTTAATAAGTTCTTTAATTATTGACAGTTAAAATTATATATAGTAGCATTTGTATAGCAAATCCAGCGTTATCAACAATTGAATATCGCCATCAAAAATTCACCTCATGTGACTTATCAATATGATTGACCAATCAGATAATACTGATTTTTATAATATAATAAAGATATATAACAGTCAGGGAATATATA